CAACTCAATTAAAAGTACATAAATTAAAAAAAAATATATAAAAGAAACTCAGATAAGGTTGTAAGGAATCGATCTGTTAGTGCTAAAATTCTTCTTTCCTGCTCAACATTCATGAACTAAGCTATTCCTGTTTAACACAACTCTTGTAAAAAGGTTTTTCCATTTGCAGTTACATGCTGACCAGAGGTTATGTTATCAAGGGGGGCTTTTGCCCCCTGTAGGGTCTCCCACAGCAAATTGGTCCTGGGTGAGGAAACAGTCATAGAGCGATTCAGAAGACCCCTATGAGATCAAAGGAACAGTTCACCCTGCCTAGTATAACATTACCGGGACCCTAAACCTAACCCCGGGAGGTTGCTCACGGGCGAACATCTGGTGGTCGGGCCTTAGCTTATGGGGCCCGGACTGGGCACAGCTCAAAGGGGCATGAGCTAGGGCTGCTCGATTATTGCAAAAATGACAATCATGATTATTTTCACTGAAATTGAGATCTCGATTATTTGACGATATTTATTTAACAATAACAATGTGTTGGATAATGACTTTAAAGATTGTCAAAAAATAATAATAAATAGTGCAAATACTGATAACAGTGCAAATGTTTGCAATATAAGAAATAAATGAAAAATGTAAACATCTGTGTTTAGTGAGCTTTGCAGTGTTGCTCTGTGGTGCAGCTACACCGTAGCAAAGTTTACACACTGTGTCTACTTGGTGCACGTCTGACTCCGCCAACCCATAATGTTTCCACACCACTCAAGTTTTGTTTTACCTCTTTTCAACCAACAGCAGTCACTCTCCTCTCCAAATAACTTCTGCTGAGCTTTCCGAGCTTCCCTCGGGTCCTCTTAATCAGCGGTCCCCAACCCCCGGGCCTCGGACCGGTACCGGTCCGTGAGTCGTTTGGTTTCGGGCCGCGAGAGTTGAGGCTCAGGTGTGAAATGTATGGTTTTCAGGGTTTTTATCGGTTTTCAGCGTTATTTTGTTATCGTTTTATCGTTTACTCGGTTTTCCTGGGTCTTTTCAGGGTATTATGAATAAATCTTCTTTTTTTCGGTACTGGTACTAGTTTTATTTTGTTGTATTTATCCGCGACACCTTAAAGGCCGGTCCGTGAAAATATTGTCGGGCATAAACCGGTCCGTGGCACAAAAAAGGTTGGAGACCGCTGTCTTAATTGTTGTGACGCGTGTTCGAAATGCAGAGAGGTGCGCTCGATTTGCCACACGGAGCAGCGCGAGAGTAAAGCACGAGGGAGGGGCTAAAAATCGGCTCAGTCATTTTTAATGTTCGATTAATTGAGCAGCCCTAGCATGAGCCTATCCTCCTGAAGCCCCACCACCCGCAGGAGGTGCCGTAGGGGTCGGGTGCAATGTGTGTTGGGCGGTGGCAGGAGCGGAGGCCCTGGCAGACTGATTCCTGGGTACAGACACTGGCGGTTGGGACATGGACTGTCACCATTCTGGTGAGAAAGTTGTCTGAGTTAGTGCGTGAAGTTGAGAGGTACTGGATAGATATAGTTGGGCTCACTCTCCATTCTCCTGGAGAGGGGCTGGACTCACTGCACTGGGTGAGAGGCGGCGGGCTGGCGTGGGTACCCTAGTATTCCCTCGGCTTGCTACCTGTATGTTGTGGATTCTCCCGGTGGATGAGAGGGTAAGCGCCGAATGACTGCTCAGAGTACCCGGCCTTCTTGGGCGGGGTCCTTGAGGGTGCCCCAACTGGGGACTCTGTTGTCCTACTGGGAAACATCAACGCTCATGCAGGCAATGACAGTGAGACCTGGAGGGATGTGACTGGGAGGAACGGGAGCAGCATTTTGTTACAGGACTTATGTGCAAACCAAAGTTTGTCCTTAACATGTTCAAACATAAGGGTGTCCATAAGTGCACGTGGCAGCAGGACATCCTAGGCTGCAGGTTGATGATCGATTCTGTAATTGCATCATCAGATCTGCGGCCATATGTTCTGGACACTCGGGTAAAGAGAGGGGCTGAGCTGTCAGCTGATCACATCCTGGTGGGGAGTTAGATCAGGGGGTGGGGAGGATGCTGGACAGACCTGGCACACATAAACGTATAGTGAGGGTGCGCTGGGAAGGTTGGCAGAGGCTCCAGTCTGCGAGATCTCAAACTCACACCTGCTTCAACAGCAGTTTGAGAGAGACTGGCGAGTCCCACAGTCTTATCCTTGGGATTAATCTTGACAGGGCAGCAGCTCTGATGCACAGGAAGTTTACCGCCTTATCTCCCATTTCAAAAATAACATTGCTTTGTTTTAAGCAATTGAGTTTCAAACTTGGATGTTGACAAAAGATTCAGGTGTTGATCATACAGAGTGGGAGAAATGGCATATTGTGTGTACATTTCCAATGGTTGATTCAAAAGCCAAGTTGTTTTGTCTGTGTTGACCTTTTTTTGTGGTGAGAGGGAAAAGAGATGGCCTGCTCCCTCAGATAAAGTGCCTCTCAGGGGTATCATTTATCTGAAAAAAGATTTCCACCAAGAAAAAAATCTAGGGTTGGTAAGTAAAAAGCAAATTTATAGTCATCCCAGGCAGGTAGACCCTCATCAGCATAACTGGGGAGTCAAAAAGATGAAAAGATGCTGCCACAAAAGACCCAGAATCTCCAATCGAATGTGTCGGTTTAATAATGGCCCCCTCTTGAGTGAAATACATGTCCCATCCAGGATCTGGTAAGACGAGAGACCTCAGAAGGTTTAAGGAGGGTTTCCCCCCCAGCTGTCTCAGGTGTGAGAGCGCCCTATCTGTCTTAACTATCCTGTTAACTCCCCTAACAGGCCACGAAACAGTCCTGCAGCCCTGGTTTTATGTTACACATCTATTCTTGTACAGGGATGACAGACTCGTGCTGTGATGATATAAGTTGGAGAGCCTCCCTCTGCCAGCCCCGCCCCCACTTCCCAAATACCCTGTATGAGATTCCTTTAGAGCTCCCAGTTCTTTGAGCACAGAGATGCCCTTCTCAGTGCACCTCCCGCTGGTTGTGATCCAATCCTTCTGACAAAGATGTTGTGAGGTTGTTCTAGGGTGGCTGTAGCCCAGATGGTAGAGCAGGTCACCTACTGTCTGCTCCAGTCTGCATGCCAAATATTCTTGGGAAAGGTACTAACTCCCATGTTGCTCTCCAGTGCATCCATCAGAATATGAATGGGTATGAAAGTTAGACAGAAAGCACGTAGAAACAGCGTAGAGGTGTAAATGGGTGTGAATGGGTAAATGAGGCAAGTTGTGCTTTGAAAGGAACCTTTTTTTAATCGCAGTGTAGCATCAAGTCAGTAATGGGATGGTGATCAGGTCAGCTATGTAGCAGAGGGGGTTGTTAATCAGTTAATAGCACCAGAGGGACAACAATGAGAAAACCCCCAAAACAGGAAGAGTCTACTGGTGGAGACCACTGACTTTTTTTTCCTCCTGATTTTTCAGATTTTTTTAGTTTTGCATTTTGCAGCGATCACTGTCTCTACTAGTAGCATGAAGCAATACGTGGACCCTACAAAGGTTGCACACGTAGCCCCACTCCTCTAGGATGGCATATGTATACGTACAATGCCAGAAGCTTTGCTCTGTCTCCCATCGAGAGTATGGAGGAGATTCAAGGAGACAGGATGCAACTCTAGAAGAGCTGGACAGGGCCATAGAAGGTCCTTAGCCCATTAGCAGGATCAGTATGTGCTTCTTTCTGCCAGGAGAAACAGGAAGAGCACAGAGCTACAAAATGACCGAAATGAACAGCCGGTGACCGACCAATCAGGACCAAACTTCATGACGTCCTCTAGTGCAGCGGTCCCCAACCACCGGGCCACGGACCAGTACCTGTCTGTGAGTCGTTTGGTACCAGGAAAGAGGCTCGGGTGTGAAATGTATGGTTCTTATCATCAACTCTGTTTCCCTGGGTCTTTTCCAGTTATGAATGAATCTTCTTTTTTTTGGTACTGGTTTTATTTTGTTGTATTTATCCGCGACACCTGAAAGGCCGGTCTGTGAGAATATTTTACAGATGAGAGGAGGTTCACCCTGAGCACATGTGACTGAAGCAATGGAGAAAGACATGTTTATGTAACATCGTTCAGCGTGACTGGTTTGGTGGCATATCCATGGAGTACACAGACCTCTACAGGTCATTAGGTACTGGGATCAAATCCTTGGATCCACAGACATTGTCATATGCTGGTGCAATGATTCCTGTGTTTCTCCTGGTGCATGACGATGCCCGGCCTCATGTGCTGAGAGTGTGCAGGCAGTTCCTGGAGGATGAAGGGATTGACACCATTACCTGGCACCCATGCTTGCTTGGCCTAAATTTAGTAGAACAGCTCTGGGACATTGTTTCAGTTCATCCAGCAGGTATCATCTCAGACGACTCGGTTCAGTGAGGCCCTGGTCTGGAGGAGATGCTGCAGGACACCATCCATCATCTCATTAGGAGCATGCCTGGATGTCATTGGGCATGCACAAAGCACCTGAGAGCCAAACAAACTACCGAGCACTGTTTTGAGTTGCTCAATGAAATTTCAGACTGCTGCATAATTCTTTGATTTTCGAGGTGTCTTTGAAATCTACCCTCTACAGGTTGAATTTCATTTTGATGATGTGGCATCCTTTCATTCTTAACACATTATTCATGTCAGCATAGATATCAGCATGATGTTTTTCCCCTACTGACATCTGAAGTGGTCCTTTTTATCAGCAGTGTACTAGCAATCCAGCGTTAAATGGGAATTGCTCTCTGAGAGCATTTTTATGTTGTCAAAACAAGCATGAAAACTGTTAAAGTTTAACCAAGTCAAGGAGACGACAGAGTTGATGTGTTTATTGTAACAGACACCGACGTCATCATAGTATCAGAAAGAGTATGAAATGTGGGCGATTAGACTGTACATTTGAAAACTGATCAGAAACTGCAGATAAATCCTTCATCGCTTGCAGGAGGTGAACAGTTTGCAGTGGGAGCTCAGCTTCTCTCAGGCTCAGATGAAGAAATCTGAGCAGTCCTGGGAGCACAAGCACAACAGGTCAGATTAACTCTGCATACACTTCTGTCTCTGGTCTCTTACCTGCATCATAACGCTGCTGCTTTATGATCAGAATGTCAGGTGAGAACAAGATTCTGACTGACAAGTTGCAGGAGATGGAGAGTGAGAGCCAGCAGCTCCGAGCAGAAAACTCTGGTAAATGAGTCCAACACATGTAGATGCTTGTATAAGTTATATGTGATGCAGAGGGTTAACGTGTGTCTGTCTGCAGCCTTGAAGCGACAGTACGTGGAACTTCTCTCCATGCTGAACGTGAAGGAGCAGAGAATTTACCAAGCCACCAAACCTCAGTACAGCCTGGACACCGAGTCAGGTGTTCTGGAGGTGAGAGACGATGGGGGAGGTCGCTGGGTGGGATACGCTGTGATTCTCAGCAACACAAAAGCTGCTTAAAGCATTTGTGCTGATTTGAATGTTGTTATGGCTCATCTGCTTTCTAGCATTGACTCTTTGATGCAGGAAGTCACAAACCGATCAACATCAGCACAGCTTGACTCTCTTCCATGTACACTTCTGAAGCTCATGTAAAAACGTGTAAAAACAGCTTAATTTTGATCTGTAATCGTTCATTTAGGAACGGAACAAGAATTTACCCTACCAAAGAGCACAGCAGGGCCAGTAATAGGTAAGGGTTTGTACGCCTCAGCATCTACACCCAAATCTGTGAATGCAATGAGAACGAGGCGACGTAGGGTCGATGTCATAGATGTGTCTGCTAAGAATCTCGGAGCAGTTTGACTCTCGGTGACCTCGACCTCAAGGTCAAGCTATCTGAAAGGTTTGTGGATACAAAGACTCGAGAACGAGGTGATTTGAAATGATACCATAGGTGTGTCTACGAGGAGGGCGAGGGTCTACACCAAACATCATATCAGAAACAATGAGACCTTCACACTGTTTACCTGAAGCGTGTTTACTGATTGCATGTGTTGTTACACTGAAAGGTGAATGTGTTGTCATTTGTGTTGAACAGCTATGATGAAATAAAGTTTGTAGCCCCTCACTTAATGCTTTAAAGCAATAAATAAGATCAAATATAACAAGTAAGTCGTTAAGTAGTGAATAATGATCAAATAACAAACAGTTTTGCAGTTATAAGTGTAACTGTAGCAGGAGACCACGCTACCACATACAACAGGTAACCAGGCTGCAGCTTCCAGGTGTTTCACTAAATAAGAGGAATACGTTATTAGATGCACAGCTGGTGTGTGATCACTCCCTGAACCACTCTGCCACAGCTGGGCAACACAGTTAATTATCATTAACTTGCACTTGTACTCAGTCGTATCCTTTCTAATCTCTGTTTTCCAGTTGACTGTACTGGGAGCCTGCCAGTGTGCGTTTGATACTGAACCGTGTCCATGTAGTCGGACTGCTGCTGCCAGCAGGAAGCAGTTGGTCCAGTTACAACAGGAGGTAAACGTCATGTAACTCTGTCACTGCACCAAGTTCCAACTTTTGTTCTATTCGGGTCAGTTATTATCATCTATGCATCGTTCAGTTTGATTCATGGATTTAAAAAATGTTGAATAATCAAAATATTGGTTTTGGAACTGGTTAAAAATATAACAACAGCTCGTGTCAGAACAAACAACCAGACATCCTCCAGCTTCTGTCTCCTGAGGGGCTCCAGGCAGGGATGCCCACTCTCCCCTTCACTGTTTGCAGTTTTTATCCAACCACTAGCAGCAGCAGTTAGACAGGCTGCAGTAATGAAGGGCATCAGATGCAAGAATGTAGAACATAAAGTCAGTCTCTGTGCAGATAATGTGTTGCTTTCACAAACCAATCTCTCTGAGATAGTCACGCTAATAAACTCTTTTTCAAGAGTTTCAGATTATTCAATAAACTGGTTAAAATCTGTAGTTCTTCCGTTGAATTGCTCCTTCCATAATTCTTCTTCTGCCCCACTGCAATCTGGAAATATTAAATACTTAGCTATTAATGTTTCTACTAAGCTTGCAGATTTAACTAAATTAAACCACATCCCAGTTCTAAAGAAAGTAGGAGACGATCTGGCTAGATGGAAATCTCTACCCATATCACTCATGGGAAGGGTCGCTGCAATAAAAATGATTGTCTTGCCAAAAATAAATAAATAATTCTCACTGATCCTGAGTGAACCATCACCAGACTGGTTCAGATCTCTGGATTTGTCCATTTCTAAATTCCTTTGGAAAGATAAACCCGTGTATCAGATTAAAAACACTACAAAGGACCAAGGACAAAGGACTAGATCTGCCTAACTTTCAACAACACTTCTTAGCCCACAGGCTTCATCTCAGGATGGTTTAAACACACCCTCTTAGATGAGCCCTGGGCAGATGTAAAACTTTGCACTAATCCAGAGATTTCAGACCATTTATCAGCTCAAACATCAAACGACATGATGCTTTACAAGCATCAACATCAGCTCTTCTCTGACAGCATGGTGGGAGTTTGTAACAATGACGGAGTCTTCATGCAAACGCCTATCTGGAACAACCCTGACATACTACAGAACAATGATATGATAAACTCCCAGATTGGAGTTGTAAACCCCACCCCAACCAATCACAGCAGATGGCCCCGCCCCTCCCTGAGCCTGGTTCTGCTGGAGGTTTCTTCCTGTTAAAAGGGAGTTTTTCTTTCCCACTGTCACCAAAGTGCTGCTCATAGGGGGTCATATGATTGTTGGGTTTTTCTCTGTGTTATTGTAGGGTCTGCCAATATAAAGCACCTTGAGGTGACTGTTGTTGTGATTTGGCGCTGTGTAAATAAAACTGAATTGAAAATAAAGGAATTAAATACTTGGAACATATATTCAAAGGAACAGATATTATTCCGTTTGGCAGTAGTTATACAAAATGTGTTTAACAAGAAAAGACTTCAGAATATCAACTAATTAAATCTATAGTAAAAAAAGAAATTTAAGCCTGGTCAAGTCAAATTACAACTACCACCAAGTGCGGTATAATTCCTTAATTTCAAACCCCCTAAATTACTGTCTAACATATATAGGACACTCTATAAAATCAATGAATCAATATGCCCTCCTGTTGCAAATGGGAGGCGGATCTATCAGTCAGCTTAGACCAAAACTTCTGGTCTCAACATGTTTAAAACCTTTCAAGTGATTAGAAATCTACAATTACAATACGCAATACTACACAGAGTGCACCACACAGGTCAGCAGATGTTCAGCAGGGGTTTTACAACAACTGCTTACACTGTCAAAACAATATACATGACAATTGCATCCACGCTCTAGGTTCAGAGGTTTTGGTGAAGGATATGTGAAGACTTATCAGAGTGTCTGAAATGCAGCATTCCAGCCTCCCTTTTAGTTTGCTTATTGGGCAACTTATTATGTCCCTGTGGAGATGAATACAGTCCACATGGCTCTCACTGTCCTCATGACGGTCCTCATGAACTGGTGCACCAGGCCTCCCCCGGCACCTGATCCAACTCACCATCAGATAGTGATCAGTCGACAGCTCAACCCCTCTCTTCACCAGAGTGTCCTGCACACATGGTCGCAGCTCTGATGACAAAATTACAAAGTCATTCAATCATGATGTTCATTATGGACAAACTGTAACAAAACGGCGCTCGGGTTCAGATCCAGGAGGCTGTCCAGGTCTCACTATCATCGCCCAGCGTTGAAGTCTCTCAGTATGACAGAGTCCCCAGGTGGAGCACCCTCAAGGACCCTCTCAAGGACCCTGCCCAGGGACTCCAAGAAGGCTGTGTACTCTGAACTGTCGTTTGGCGCACAAGCACAGACGACAGTCAGGACTCGTTCCCTGACCCAAAGGCGAGAGAACAAACCCTCTCATCCACTGGGAGAAACCCCAACATACAGGCAGCAAGCCGAGGGGATACTAGGATACCCACCCCACCGCCTCTCACAAAGGGCAACTCCTGACGGCGACAGAGTCCAGCTCCCCTCCAGCAGACTGGTTCCAGAGCCCGAGGTGTGCTTGAGGTGAACCTGACGCTTTCTAGCCGGTACCTCTCAGCCTCACACACTAACTCCTTCCCCATCAGAGAGGTGCCACTCCATGTCCCAGTCGCTAGTTTTGGTAGTCGGGGATCAGCACCCCAGGGCCTCCACTCCTGGCTGATAAGGTAGCGATTCACGCTACCTTATCAGCCAGACCAGGGACCACGAGCTTCCCCAGTCCCCCAAACCCCTGACAGGCCATCACCCTCCTCCCCCTCCCTTTCTCCCTCCTCCCCACACCTGAAATTCACTGAGGAGATGATGGAGCGGGTCAATGCTGGGCTCAGATCTACCCCCCGGCCCTTTTTGTCCCCCATAAACCCCCCACCAGAGCAGCCAAAGGTTCGTCATCGAGCCCCGCCCTCAACAGAGCAATCGAAGTCACATTGCCCAGCCTCGCCCCCCTTAGTTCCTCCTTACCACCTTCATGCTCTGTCTCCACAGTCTGATGTGTGATGTGTGGAGGGTCCGGGCTGTGAGGATTATGGCAGTGGTGATTTTTCCCAGGAGAAGCTGGGACCCTGTTCACTAGAAGGTTTTAAAATCTCTGTACTTTCAGGTGACAGGAGACATGTGGCCTGGTCAAAACACAGAGAGCTGCACTCTAAAAGATCTTTAAACATAGTAAACATACCTTGTGTGCCACAGACTGCTCCCAAACACGAGCGGCCAAGTAATACCTCTAAAACACTTAAGTTGGCTTTATTAAACGTTAGATCTCTAGCTGGGAAAACATTTTTAATTAATGATTTAATCACTGAGCACAGCCTTGATTTTGTTTCTAACTGAAACTTGGTTGGACCAAAGTAACAGTGGAGCTGTTCTCATCGAGACGACCCCTCCTAACTACAGTTTTATCAGTGAGGCCAGGGTGAGCAGGAGAGGAGGAGGGGTTGCTGTCTTATTTAATGAATCATTTCAATGTAAGCAGCTATCTCCTGGAAGTTTTCAGTCTTTTGAATATGTGGCTTTACAGCTGAAGGCCCCATCCAAAGTTGTGTTTCTTAATGTTTACAGGCCTCCCAAATACTGCACAGACTTTTTTAATGACCTCAGTGAACTGCTGTCTGTGATCTGTGTTGATTTCGACTGTGTAATTATTGTTGGGGATTTTAACATCCATGTTAAATCCAGAGCAGTTTCAGTGCTGTGGTTCTGTCTGAATACAGACAGAACCACAGCACTGAAACCGCTCTGACCAAAGTGTTTAATGACATATGTCTGAATACAGACAGTGGAAAAATGTCAGTCCTAGTTTTACTGGATCTCAGTGCAGCATTTGATACAGTTGACCACAACATATTACTCAAACGACTGGAGAACTGGACAGGTCTTTCAGGAACTGTACTAAACTGGTTCAAAACATACGTAGAAAACAGGAAATACTTTGTATCAATAGGTAACTTCACATCCGAGCAGACAAGTATCACATGTGGAGTTCCCCAAGGTTCCATCTTGGGACCCCCTCTGTTTAACATCTACATGCTCCCACTGGCACAGATTATAAACAACAACAAAATAAACTATCACAGCTATGCAGATGACACACAAATATATATCACAATGTCACCAGGAGACCGAGGCCCTGTACAGGCTCTTGGTAAATGCATTGAGGAAATCAATGACTGGTTGTGCCACAATTTTCTCCAGCTAAACAAAAACAAAACTGAGGTAATAGTCTTTGGCGCCAAAGAAAAACGATTACAGGTCACCAGAGAACTTCAATCTATACATCTAAAAACCACAAACCAGGCGAGAAATGTGGGTGTAGTGATGGATGCAGACCTAAACTTAGAAAAACACATTAAGACAATAACAAAGTCAGCTTACTATCACCTCAAGAATATATCAAGGATAAAAGATCTGATGTCTCAACAGGACCTGGAAAAACTAGTCCATGCATTCATCTTTAGTAGGCTTGATTACTGTAACAGCATCTTTACAGGTCTACCTAAAAAATCAGTCAGACAACTACAGCTCATTCAGAACTCTGCTGCTCGAGTCCTCACTAAGACCAAAAAAGTGGACCACATCAGTCCAGCTCTGAGGTCCTTACACTGGCTGCCTGTCCGTCAGAGGATAGACTTTAAAGTTCTGATGCTGGCCTATAAAGCTCTGAATGGTTTAGGACCAAAATACATCAGTGACCTCCTGACCCAGTATGAACCTTCCAGATCCCTCAGGTCATCTGGATCCGGTCTTTTATCAGTTCCCAGAGTCAGAACCAGACACGGAGAAGCTGCATTCAGCTTTTATGCTCCTTATATCTGGAACAAACTCCCAGAAAGCCTCAGATCAGCTGAAACACTCAGTTTATTTAAATCCAGGTTGAAGACTCACCTGTTCTCAGCTGCATTTGAATAAAACACCAAATCCACACTTTAAGCTTAAATTTCAAAACTTACATTTAACTACTGATTTTATCTACTGTTCTGATTTTATCTGTTTTGATTTTATCTACTGTTTTTTAATCAATTTTAAATCATGCTTTTTATTGTTTTTGTTTTTTAATGTCTCTGTAAAGCACTTTGAATCACCTTGCTGTTGAATTGTGCTATATAAATAAACTTGCCTTGCCTAATATACATATACAGAAGATCATTCAACAGCTACTGATTAAACTCAGATGAGACATGAGTCTTAGCATACATCAAACCTAATAAATCAACATACAAACCACATTATTAACATGATCAGTCACCATATTATGACTCACACAAGGAGGTTTTTGTATTCCTGTGATTCCTGGTTGGTGGTTGGACAGCACGTCCCTGTCTTAAGAGGGCAGACCTGGCAACATATGACATTACTGGAGTTTAGCAAAGTCCAACATTTTCAAAAATTAGATCTCCCCTCATTGGTCTACTATCATTCAAACTTAAAGGAAGCCTTAATATTTAGGAACAGTCATCTCTTCTTATTCCAGAATTTGGTTTCCTTTCTCTTCTTACTCGCTTAAATATATTTGAATAAGATATTCTCCCCAGGACCCCTCAGAAGGGGGGCGTCCCAGTTTTTGTTTCATCTGTTGTCTTTATCGAGGTTTTCTCTTGAGTGTCAGTCATTAAGTAGTTCCTCTTGCACTCGGTGCACCGTGTTCAGGGTACATCTGTGTCCACTGTAATGTTTACCGTGGTGTGAAGCGTTAGTGTTTGTATGTTTTACAGCTGGATGCTCAGCGCTTAAGGAAAGAAGAGGCCTTGATGGTTGCAGATGCTTTTCGCATCGCCTTTGAACAACAGCTGAGGAAGCGAAGTGAGGAGTTCCTGCTCGTAGCCGAGGCCAATATTAAGAAATCAAATCACTCTAAAGCTGAAGGCAAGTCTGCTGTCAACATAACGTCCTACACTAACTGGATCGTTTGCTTTTGGACTGGTTCTGGGTCTTCTATAGCACCTTTCTACTCTTCTGAGCACTAAGAATTTTACACAACTTGTGCATTCACCCACTCACACACCAACTAACATTCACACGCATTCATCCTCCGATGGATGCATCGGAGAGCACTTTGGGGTTAGTATCTTGCCCAAGGATATTTGGCATGCAGACTAGGGGAAGCCAGGAATCGAACCACCAACCTTCTGATCAGTAGATGCCTGAGACTAGGGCTGGGCGATATGACCCAAAATTCATATCTCGATATTTTTTAGCTGGATGGCGATATAAGATATATATCTCGATATATTTTTTTAAAGCCATACAGTAAGAACAAAAAGAGAGTTCTTAGTCAAAGCTGTGTCCCAGATGTCACACTTTTATTAACATAGAGCAGATGTACATAACATTTTCTCAAAAATAAATTATGAGCATTTATTAAATAATAATGCTCCATAAATAAAAGAAAACAATGTTGTTTTTGTGCATAACAAAAAGCTCACAATTATTAGGTGTTCACACAGCTGGTCAGAGAAACGACTCTCCCCCGACCCACACAGAATCAGCTGCAATAACTAAAGATACACATGGACTTGATTTATTATTTTAGGTGAAAAAATAAAAATAGTGCACAAATACTTAACAAGGTACTAAAGAAGTACAAAGACAAACACTGAAACCCCCTAAAAAGCTCAGAACAGAAGCTGCCACTGATGCGCCTCTCGTGGCAAAGCAAAAACTAACTTGTGTATTGAAGCCACGCAAATTTGACCTCCGTTCAAAATAAATGTCGATTTTTTCCGTGGAATAACTTTGGACAAATCAGACACAGTCACTGATGGAAGCAGTTTGTTTTAAGTGATAGTAATTATGCAGAGGACGGTGGACATTACGCTCACTTGTCTTCATTTGTCTGTTCGGACATCAAAGCTAAAGGAAGCTGGCACGGGAACGTTTGCACTGCGACAGTGAAAACGATGTAAACAAATCATGTTACAAATGCTTCTCAATCTGTTTTGTCTACAGGTGCCAACAAGAGTCCTTTAATAAGTGTAAGTAAGAGGCTGAAGGCATTGCTCCCCTCTGGTCTGGAGATGAAGATGCCTGATGAACATTTAGAGACTCTCTACAAGCTGCTGGACTTGGTTAGTATCTCGTCTAAGATCTTGTTGTCGTGAGAAAGAAAGAGATCGAGGCCCCACCGCTGCTCAGCTTCTTCTGCAAAAATATTTCTCTGTGATAGAACGGTTTCATCAAGAAATGTTAATTTATAGAAAAACTCCGAAAATTTAAATACAAATGCTCGTCTGTAACCTGACAACGAAAGAAGTCCACTAGTGACCAACCGTCTGCAACAAAGTGATGTGCAACAAGCTCTGTGGGTGGGCCTTTGTAACAAATGTTATTTGACTTTTAATACTGTGTTTTCTGGTGTAGCTGAACGACAAGGAGGAGGCCCTGGCCCACCAGAGGAAGGTGAGCATCATGCTAGCCCACAGCGCTGAGGAGCTGCAGAGACAGTTGCATATGGGTTCCAGTTGCCAGCTGCAGGACCCACCAGAACCCAGGATTCAACAGAAGCAACCCCAAGCTCCACTGGAGAACCAGAGCCAGTCTCAGAAAACATCTGAGACATCAGAACCTGAGGTTGAAGTGTCATCAGAGTGCAAACTCCACAGTCCACCACAGCTCTCTGAGTCCAGGACAGAATCAGAGGGTGTGTGAGGCTCATCAAAGACTAGCAGTAAGGTACTGGCTAATTACAGGAGCTGCAGCCAGTTATCGTCCTGATCTCCCCACATGAGGAAATACACTGAGGGTTCTGTCTGAGCACTCGGGCTTTACTCTGAAGTCCCAAACTGTGACAGGTTCATTTGTGACCTGTCCAGAGTATACCCCAGTCCTATCATGGCTGGAGATGCATTATATGTTGCATTGCATGTTCATCCAATATTATAATTTTATCTTAGTCTGTAAAATCAATTGCTTACACAACACATAACACAACATCAGCTCTTTGCAAGCATTTGAAACCAAGGCTAGCGACGGCCCAGAGTGGCGTTAATGTCTCCTAAGCAAAGCTCTGCCATCCCAGCCAGGCAGGCCGTCTGATTATCAACCTGCCTGTTATGCAGTCAGCCTCATAGAGCTGAGATAGACAAAAGTACTGGGCTACCTCGTTGCCTTTGAATTCAGGTGTTTAATTCCAGATCTTAGCCACGCCCTCTGCCTTTATATTTCATCCTAGAGTCTTTCTCACTGAATTTGAGGGTGATACTGTAAGGTTTGATCCATGATCAAAAATGTCTTCCTCCTAAATGGTCTCTAATCAGCTGTGAGTTGTGTAATTGCAGAGTGAAAGTGGAACCACACAGTCATGAAATGACAGCATGCAGGAAGTTACAGAGCAGGTTCAGCGAGTGCTGCGATGCCCACTGTGTAAGCGTTGCTGTGTCAGTGACGCGTGAGCTCTCCTGGCATGCATATGAACAACATGCAGGAGTGTATGCAGCTGCTGTAGGTGTGACACGTAGGCTCTGGGGCCATCGTGGCTCAAGAGTTGGCAGTTCGTCTTGTAACCGGAAGGTTGCCGGTTTGAGCCCCGGCTCGGACAGTCTCGGTCGTTGTGTCCTTGGGCGAGACACTTCACCTGCCGCCTGCTGGTAGGTGAATGTGAGAGTGAATGAATAGTGGAATTGTACAGCGCTTTAAGGGACCTCGAAAAGCGGCATATAAATGCAATCATTATTACTATTATTATTATTATTATTATTATTATTATTCTTGTACTGTTGTCCACATTGCATCTGTGCAGATTCTAAAGCATGCTGTGGCTTCTCCTCTGCTCACACACAAAGGTCAGCTGGGAAACACTGGGTCCTGCTATGATGTTATTTTGACACTCACCACCTACTTAAGCATTGTTGTACAGACCATGTATCAACAAGCTTGAGTGTTGGCTTGGCTTCCAAAGTCCCCACGTCCCGATCCAGTCGAGCTACAGATCAGGGATCGAGTCCATGCCTCGACAGGACAGGCAGCTACAGAGAGGCACCAACACAATATGAGGCAGGTGGTTCAAACCTGACCAGTGTAGGTTAAAGCACTGAGAACAAACAAGGAAAATGAACATACATGAAAACTCGATTATGATCTGGACTTTGGCTGATTCCTACAATCGAAAACACGTGTTTGGGTTGCTGGATCAGCTGTTCAGGTGAAGGACAGGTTTGTTTTTAAGCTGGAAGATGACATCTGTCGTTTAACCTGAAACTGCAGCTCAGGAAGTAACCAGCAGAGGGCAGTGTTTGTGTGTGCGTCTCTGTGCGTTCATGGCTGTGGTACCTGCAGCTTCCAGCTTTGTGTCACTGAGCTAACACTGTGTTATTGACATCTCTGTTCATCTTTACAAAATATCAGTACTGTAACCCTGAGATATCGACATTACAGTTTAATTTAATGCAAAGAGACGATCGTTTATGGTGGATTTCAAACTAAAAACAGTCAAAATGTTTTTATTATAGTTTCCAAAAATGATAAGTGAACCATGTGATACTCAACCACAGATGTTTGTTCCTGACAGCATGAACATGTCGTTTAGTTCCTCATCATGGTGCCACATACTTTGAGGTACCCGTCACTACACCCGAATAACAGCTGACTCTGCCCGTTTCATTGGTTTTTACATTTATATTTACACCAAAGGAAAGACGAGTTACAGCCCTGCATTTCTCATCATTTCTCAAACTGCTTCACTGATTCCTCATTTTTGCTGATAACGACTTGCACATAGTTCAGTATACACCAGTGCAAACTGACTTTGTGGATTTTAACCATTGAAACATGTGAAGTTGACTGTTTTTACATTTGTATGAAGTATACATGTCTTCACAAAGAGCGCGGTGGAGTGATTTTCAGCTTTGAAATTAATTACTGTTAAAGTAAAACTTTGAAGGATTGGAGAGCGAGCAGTGAAACCTGTAATCTCCAAATCTGTATTAAAATGATTTGAACAGAGAAAGAATCAGAGAAGTACAAAAAAAGAGCTTTCAGGGGTTAAAACTCTGATACGAACCTCGTGCAAAAGATGTTATATGTATAAATATATGCATGTGTGTGTCTCTCTGAGACGTTCACAGCACATCTTGTTTGTGTACAAAGTAAATCAATAAAATAAATGTTTTTCTTGACTCTTTGCTCGAAGTTCCAGCTGCTGCTTCAGCAAATGAAGCCAATAAGACAAATGTCAGTCATCACAGTTCACCAGTGACACCAGTGACTGGATTCTTTAATCAGCCTGTGACTACTTCCTGAAGTGATAGCTAGCATCTGAACTCTGTACTGTGTCATTTCCACCTCCTGTGTCTGCCCCATTAGCTTCAGATAATGGCCAAGCTTTCCACACAGGCTGGCCCACAGCCTTGGAGCGCTCAGCATCACTGATTGCAGGCATTCTGGGAATTGGACTGACAGCAACCAAATAAATGGAATGAGAACTGAATTGCAATAGGAGGTAATGCTATGGAACAAACACGCTGTAAAAGTGAAAGGAAATCAGCATGTTGCAACATTTAGTCATTATTTCTATTTATTCATTTATTTGTAACTGAAAACATCCAGGACAAAACAAAAACACCCTGTTTAAAAAACAACTGTGAAAATGATCATGTCACTTCATTTTATCCTCCACTGAACCATCTGCTGCACACTGACAACAACATGTTTCCCTTTGAAATGAACCAAGTTCATTTTTTAAAATTCTTTCATTGGTCCTTCAGGTAAGAATCTCATTTCTAACCGAGACCTGACATCATGGCAGCAAAGCTCAAACACACTTGCACCACATAACTACTCTGCACAAACATGTGACACAATAACAGATCATTAACAGAAACATCCACGCTGACTAACAGAGTTCTTCCTCGTTCCTTTACGGTGGACTTAAACTCCCCCACAGTAACACTGTCCAGGAAACAGCGCATCTAAAAGCCTTTTTCCTCGTTCTGTTCAGATTTTTGGGACAGTCAGTTGTATGATACGATTTTACACATATAAACACGCGAACACGTTACTTTTACATTCAAATTTTATTTGTCACGTACACAGTCATACACAGTACGATATGTAGTGAAATGCTTGGACAACTGCTCGTGACCTAAAGAAAACAAAAAAGGAAAAGGCTATGAATAAGATAGGAAATAAATATGAAAAATTAAAAAGGGTAAATTTAACTAGGAAGGAATAAAATATAAATTAAGGTTAAAAATGAAATAACTGTACAACACAAATTAGAATGAAGGGTAAATTTAACTGGGAGAATAAGATAAAATATATAAATTAAAGTTGAAAATAAAATAACTGTACAACAAAATACACAATATAGAACTATATAAGAATGTATGAAGAAATATAAATATAAATAAATATATACACAATAACAGCAGCTGTACAAGTATTAACTGGAAATGAAGAATATAGTGACCAGTGTTGTGCAAAAACAACAACAATTAATCACTTTACATTTTAAAGTAAGTATTAGTTCATCATATTATCAAGTATACAGAATTATTGCAGTAACAGTTACTGACGTGGGTCCTGTTGCACTGGGCCCATATTTGTGATGTGACTGAAACTATGAGTGTTTCTCCACACGTCCACATTTTTAATAGACTCATGGATCGAAGGTCGTGGCTGCATTTAAACATGTTGCTAATGCTTCTGAATCTAACATCCCAGATGCCCCATTCTGGAGGTGGATTCCTGGATTAAAATGACTTTTGTCGTGTATTTGTGAGCAATGAACTTTCCCGTACTGACAGGCCGTGGCTGTGGGTCGCAGAGCCAGCCTCCTGCCCTCCTCTGCACGGGAACAAAAGCAGAGATGCAGTCAGGAGCTTTATGGGCCGCCTGCATCCCCAGGGCACTGTATGTGGGGCACCCCGAGCCTCCAGGACTTTCATGTTTTGCACTTTGTAAAATATTGACACTCCCTGGGCTTTCAAAACTGCACCATTGATTGGCGCTTAAGCCTCGCAGCTGGACTCTGACCAAAGCTGCTTCGTATTATTGGCGTGATTAATTAAAAAGAAAATGGTTTTAGCATGGCTGGATACACAGACGGGCTGCAGCCGCGACATGGTGGGACATGGCATTACATACAGACGCGTTTGCTCGCATGCACACGCATGAGCGGCGTACTGCGATGGCTGAAGGGTGAGGGGAGGTGTATGAAACACATTAACCCACAATGCACTGCTGAGTTTTGACAGATCCCTGCTTCAGGGCTGCTGAATTCATGAGCCATTACTCCTTCTCCTAGTTGGTGCATTATGTTCCATGTCATCTGCTATTAGTGGTGCAGTGACTGACATCCATTGAGAAAGCCGGTGCTTTCTGACACTGGCCAGCTGATGGGGCCAGCGTGGTGTTCTTGGGCTACGATGAAGCCACATTGTTGTTTTGTTTCCAGGCCTCCCTCTTTTTCTTGCTCATCCAGTTGCATTCATGCCTGCAGTAATCAGGACAGTATTGCATCCTCCACAACGTCAAAGCAGCTATTGTGGTGCACAGTGAGCTCCAGCTGGCCTGCTTTACTCTTTTAGGGTACAGTGAGCTGGGGTTACCACCTTACGTTAGACTGTTCATGTCACGCAAGCTGTGATGTGGAGTTGATGTTTTTAAGGACAAAAATCCTGAAGCCTTTAAATTATTAGAAATTCAGCAAATATAAGAAATAAGTCTGTATTTACCATCTGTTTGCTCCTTTTCTGTGTATATAAGCAAACTGCATATGCTGTAGTATCTAATATCTCTGCCTTAACAACTGTGATGTGTATGAAACTGGGCCATGATCTCAGGAAGTATGCTGACTTCCTGTTTCAAATGCAATCTGACTGTATTGTAAATGTGACCATCACAGATACAGGAGTATATTTGAGTAACCCCCCCACCCCCACCACCTATTAGCCCACAGTCTAAATAGGCCTAAAAGGTTATGATGGAATTCGTCCCTGCCTGTTGTTGTTTACGCACTTCTTAGCGAAGGTCAGTGTATTGACCAATCTGGATATGGGGCAAGCATGACAAAACGCTGACATATAATCTGTGTGGCCTTGATGCTCCATTAAATGATCGATTCAGCTGGTTTGGGCTGGGGTGGGTGGGGGGGTAACCAGGGACTATGAAAGGTCAGTAACTGTTAGTTCATTGCTGGAGTGATTAATAAATCAATAGGAACAGCAGAGAGGTCCAGTAAATAAAACAGTTCCACCGAGTCCTGACCTCTCTGCAAACGGATGAATGAGGTGAGGGTGTGTCTACCAAAAGACCCCCCCTCTCTGAACCCCCATACATACTGCTGACTGCTGCTGCTATAGAAACAGATGAATATTATACTAATATTCATTATTTTAATATTATAGTCATATTCACATTATACTAATCTTTAGTATACTAACGATCTGTTACATTAGACAGTCATGCATGTTCTGGTTACATTAGTTGTATTTGTTTCTCTTTTTTTGTGAAATAATCTCTACTTTTACAGGATTTGTTTCTGGTGTATTTTGTTGATGATGTTATCC